CGCTTGCTATCCTGTATCGCCGACACGGAAGCCTGTCTGCCCCTTGCAGCAGCGAGCAGCAGCTGCGAGCAGCAACGAGCCTCTCAGCCTCGCGACCAATCAGAGCACACTGGGCTCACAGAGGGACGGGCAATTGATTGACAACATTTTTTTTTTTTTTACTGATTAGTCTAACGATAGAAACTCACTAATGCAGCAAGGCTTCCAGGAACTGCTAACCATTTCAAGACTCTACCCTCTGTGGTTAAATCAATTTGGATGTCATAAAATGAGCTGTTTGATTCTTGTTTCCGCTGTTGCGGTGTTTTTTTTCCAAAGTAAAGTAGTTCAATGTCAGAGCTGCTTTTGGATGCAAGAAACGGTGGGTTACGTATTGTAACCCTGGTTATATAAGCACAGGCGGAGCCAGGGGCGTCGCCTGGACCTGAAAACATTCGGGGCTTAGCCCACAGTGGCGGCGGCCGCGGCGCTACAGTGGAATTTTTTACTGCAACACTCCCCACACTCACACACAGTACACCCGCGACTGTTAGAATGAAGGCTCGATAATCATCTCACCGCATATAGGCAGGCGTAAAGTGCTATTTTTTGAGTGGGGGGTGGACCTAACCTTCTCTCGGGGGGTCCGGGGGGATGCTCCCCCGGGAAGATTTTTTTTTAAATATTGAAGTTAAAAGCATCAATCTGGTGCACTTTGAGAGCAAAATTAAGAGATCTATGGACACCTCTCTCAACACCCATATGAAACAGAACTGTAAACAGATTTACTTTTTCTTTATGGATATTTTACAAATCACTCCCCTTTTAAACTCTATTCTTGTTTTACTGCCATATAGTATTTCATAACTGTTTTTCCTTTATTCTCTTATTTTTTTTATAACTATAATGATCATATGAAGGTGTGCCGCGGAAATAATCTTTTGAATAATTTGTGACCAAACCGTTTGCGACCCACTGAGATAACTTAGACTAAAGTTAACTATCTAAACACTCAGAGAGTCCTTTAGCTCACCTGAGTCTCTCAGTCTGAGAGGAGAGGACTCTCCTCCAGCTTCTTGTGGAACAAACAGCTCCTTATGTCCGTTAGCGCAGCTAGCTAACCAGATGCTAACAACACGGTCCCTGCTGTTCTTATTATACATCCATGGCTGGCACCGGTCCCTCTCTCTCCCTCTCTCCCTCTCTCTCTCTCTATCACACTAAATGCGCTATTGCCACACAGAGCCGAGCTTGAATGACACAAGCACACGTTTATTTCCATGCAACTCTCTGATTGGTCTGGTGTCATGCCTCTGTTGCATTCACTGAACACGGGAAATTACAGTCCTGCCGTCCTCTCTTGTGTCATGATGAGGTTCACGTAAAGCACGGTTAATGTATTATATTATTGGAGGGAGAATTATCCGGGGCTACAGAAAAAACATTCGGGGCTAAAGCCCCGAATGCCCAGGCCAGGCGACGCCACTGGGCGGAGCCCTCTACTGGACTCTATGGGTACTACCCTTAACCTGTTTAGCCCTCAGCCTGTTTTTCAGGTCTCAGGCTCGAAAATGACATTCCCAGAACAAATGACCATATCTTCCCTTCTAAAAGGGTTAAATTAATAATCTTTTTTCTCAAAGTAATGATAAACCTGTGAGTTGGATGTAGAAAAGTCAGAACAAAATAGATGTTTTTTATTTTAAAGAAAATTCAGATTGAACATAGTAAAAAAACTGTAAATTATAGTGTCCGTCCAAAAATTATTTTTTACTTATAGTGAAAACTACCCTTGGATGATGGTAAGGTAGACTAAAAGCTTTAGGAATCCAAAGTACAACATATAATAAGTACCCTGTATCAAGATTGATGGAAAACAAGTGACATTTGACCTTTTTAGAGAGGTTTAGCAAAAACAACTCCATCTCTGAGGTGATTTGGATGGAAATGGGGGTTTTACCGTTTCTCTGGAACCCATTGGTCGATTTTGGTGATTGACATCTCTTTTTGACCGTTAGAGCCAATAGAATCGAAGGGGGGTTTTCACATAGACTCCAACGTTAACACAAAAAGGTGGGGGCTTTGCGCATGTAGTTTTGCATGAGAGTGAAGCTATCTCTCGCTCTGACATCTAGAAACGGAAAAGCAGTTTTATTGCTCATGGATTATCAGAAATCATTTCAAAGGGACACAGACACATTGGATTAACCTATGGATTAACTTCAGCAGCGTTTTTATCGTTTTAATGCCATTGAAGACCACTTTTGACCAGACTACGACACAAGGTAAACCATGTTAGCATTTTTAGCTACCTAGCGCCACATGTTTTGAGGTCTGTTTTTGTTTATAAAGTCGCGAGTTCATATAATTGAGTGATAATGAGGGTACCCTTCGATTCTGTGTCAATGAATATATTAAGTGCTTTGACGAAAAATCCATAAAAAAATGTCATCTGTGGAAGCCGTAGTACTGTAAAAAGCACGACCAATCATTTTAGCCGGCCCGGCTAAAATAACTGGATGGCCTACCTGCCTGTCAGCCTTCCATCTGTGCACAAACTTATCTCGTGCCCTCATTGGTCATGTGCGCGTTCGTGTGTGTTGGAGGAGGGGCTCTGTAAGGAAGTGGCAGATTTGTTCCGGCTGTGTATTTTCAAATTCTAGCGCACTCCAGCTGGTAGGGTAGGTAAGAATGGAGAAACCAGCTCGAGTGCGATAGAATTTGAAGGTACCCAGCCGACAAAAATCTGCCCCTTCCTTCAGACTTCCTTACAGAGCCCCTCCTCCAACACACACGAACGCGCACATGACCAATGAGTGCAAGTTTGTGCACGAGATGGAAGGCTGACAGGCAGCTAGGCCATCCAGTTATTTTAGCCGGGCCGGCTCAGATGATTGGTCGTGCTTTTTACAGTGCCACGGCTTCCACAGATGACATTTTTTTATGTATTTATTGTCAAAGCATTTAATATATTCATTGCTATCGGGATGTTAAGAGCATTCCATGGAATATAACAAAAAGTGTTTCTGAAGTGAATTACCTACCCCATACCTTTAAGCAAGATGTCGAAAGATGGTCTGATTTAAAGATTAATCTAGTAGGAAGAATTAACCTTTTTCAATCAATGGGTCAGCTGGTTGTTTTGGATCCAGTATTTTTCTTGCACCATTAAATATACTCACTGCTGTCATGGGCCCTTTCTCATGTCTTCAAATGTTCCTCCTCGACTCCCCTCCTCGACTCCTATCCTCGAGACTTAGTCCCGCCCACAGGAGATGCGAGCGGAGGAGCCGAGGAGGGGAACCGAGGAGAGAGGAGGGGAAGCAGCAGGCGGTTAGAGAAATGAGAACTCCTCTCCTCTGAGCGGTCATTTTAAAGAGACGTCCATTAATGATGACAGGAGGCACAGCAGCCCTCTGTCTGATGGACAGATGTGTTCATGACGACTTATATATTTACTTTTAATTCATTCACAGTGCGGTATAATGAGACAATAACAGGCTACAGATGCGGACATACACACAGACACACACACACACACACATATATGTATATATTTATATAAATATATACAATTTCAGAATCAAACAGAGCACTCTCATAATAACGTAACACTATCAGAGACTGGATATATCCCCCCCTCCCTCTCTGGTCGCTACAATGAGGGAAATAAATGACGGGCCAAAAGTTTTATTTACAAGTATTACAAGTAAGCAGAGGACACCAAACCAACTGAGACCTGTCTGTCCGCTGCATCTACGCACACACTGTACCACACACACCTACACCACACACACACACACACACACACACACACACACACACACACACACACACCTACACCACACACACACACACACACACACACACACCTACACCACACACACGCACCTACAGCTCCTAAAGCATATAATCAGGCTACAGCCGTTGTGTATTTTATTATGTGAAGCACTAAATGGTTTTAGAAAAATATCAACTTTGTTTGTAGATATCTACTAAACTAAAGCAAATAAAGAGAGTAGGCCTGTTATACTGAGTGATATGATATATATTATACACACTGCTCTGCTTTCTGCACGGACCTCACAGCTGTTCTCACTGTAAACATTGCGTCGCGATGAAAGCAGTTAATAAAATAATATCCAGGGGATGCATGCAGAGCTGTCATTGGCTGAGATAAGTCCGGCCGTGCGTCTCGACTCTTTGAAACATCACTGTTGCCGGAAATGCATCCACGAAGGAGCCGTGGAGGACTGTGGAGGACCCATCAGTGTATCCTCGGTTATAGCTCCTCCAGAGAGCCTCCTCGACGCTCGATGCTCGGTCCTCGATGTGCATTTCGAGAAATGAGATGTCCTTCAACATGGCGCGCTAAAATTCATTTCCGGGTCACTACCGGAGGACCGAGGAGTCGAGGAGTCGAGGATGGGACATTTGATGACATGAGAAAGGGCCATGGTCTTGGATTCATGTTGTTTTCATTTTCCACCTTTTATTTTGAAATGTTTTCCTCTTTGTGTCTTGTCTGGTCCTACTTCCTGTGTTTGCCTTTCTGTCTTAAGTTTCCCTCCTGTGTCTGATTGTCTCATTGTGTTCACCTGTTGCCCTTGTGTTTCTGCCTCCCCTGCCCAGCTGTGTCTTGTCCTTTGATTACCCTTCTGTGTATTTAGTCTTGTCTTCCCCTGTGCTCCTTGTCTGATCGTCGTCTCTTTTCTCCTAGTCCACGTTACCGGTTCGTCTCTTCATGTCCATGTTCCATGCTCGTCTATGCTTGTCCATGTCACCTGCCTGTTCCCGTCTGTAACTTTGTTCCTGTCTGTCGTGCTCCCCGGTTTTTGTTTATGTTAATTAGTGTCTTGTTTTTCCTGTCTTCAGCTTTGGGAAATAAATCTCACTTTTTGTTCCTTCTTGTTTTGTCTTATTTAACTGCACTTGGGTCCTATTTTTCCCAGACCCTGACAACTGCAGGACACACACAACCAAACACACTAACAAACAAAGAATAAACACATACACAAATAGATAAAAAACATTTTGTTTGTATTTTTTATTTGATTAGTATGAAGTCTAACATGCTTTAGAACAAGATGGCAGGATTAATATTTCATGTAAATACATTATGTACTGAAATCCACATGCAGATATAATTTGTTTTTAAACCACAACAAGCTCAAATGACTTGAACTATAGAAGAAAATACTAATGTAAAGCCTTAATAAAAGTATACTTGTTTAGTATGGTGGATAAATCAATAATAGTGTTTCCATAGCATTTCCACAAAGAAGCAACACTCACAGTTTTCAATATATAATATAAAGTCATATAATACTATAACTTTACTGTAGGAGATATTTATGTTAATTGTTGCCATGTCATATTATTATGATAGATATATCATGCAGTATTATTCTAGACACTTAGGGCTGGTGATTAGATGCAGAAGGTTGTATATAAGGGCACATAGTTGACAGGATAGGGACAGCACAGGTAGAGGGAGTGCACGCAGTTCTCACAAGATCTACAGACAAGAAACACTCACTTGCAGAATTGGAAAGCCTCTTAATGTTCAACAATTAAGAGAACATGCCATTACATTTACAATACTTCTTTGTACGGTTACACCATGGCTGTTCAAGTGATCCATGCAGTGTTATGAGTGAACATCAACATTAAAAGGCTTGTGCATACTAGTGTCTGCCCATTTTAAGTTAACATTTATAATAGTAATATATGGTTGCATACTCTTTATTGAGCATAGCATAACTTGCTGTTATTAATCAGAAATAACTTTTGATTAATGATTTCCCCCTGTGGGTTCATGTATTGATTCCTAACAAGTCAGTTGAACCCTCGACCCCCTCTTAAAAATAACAATGAGTTTTGGTTAAAACGTTGGTTCTGACCAACCAACCTAAACTACAGATTTGAAACTGACTACAGATGCGTTAAAGAACATGTTAATTGAAGGAATGTTCTAATCAAGTCAGCCTTGAGACAGGTTTTAAAGTTTGTCAAAATGTGTTGCTATGATCAATATAAAGTTTAGATGATCGAAAGGGTTTGGGTAAGCGATTGAGAAATTCTGGATCTGGCCCTGACCTGTGCATCACTGCTTGCACTTGGTGGAGTCGCAGTTTGAAGCAATAGTTAATGTAGTAGACTGTTTCCCTGTGGATATGTTTGGCTTTTGAATTTGTGACAGACTTAATCTAGCTGGCCCGAAATACATTTAATCTTAGTTTTGCAAGTTTATTCCACAGACATTTGCCGCCTTCAGTAGAAGAATGTATAATAAATTCTCTCTGGTGACAAACTTGCAAAGATACAAGTCGGTTTAGTAAAACAAACATGTTTCTGAATAGACCCCAATTGTTTACCACTACTCGTCGTTTGCATGGATCCATAATGAAAAGATGACACCCAAAAACAGAGCGGACACTGTGACATAGACAAAAAAGAAAATTATGTTCAATTTTTTAGCCACCCTGGTCCAGTAGTCAGGCTTCCTTTCTTCCTTCCTGCTGAGGAGCAGAGAGAGTGCTTTCACCGCCTCACTCAGCTCATCTGGGAGCTTCTCCAAGGAATTGGACTCCTCCATCAGTTGGCTTCTTTTGTCCTGCAGACGTATTTTATTGGAGTGATCATGGACCATAACAACCATAACAAATTGCCAGCTGTTCAATTTGATATACCAATGTTTGTCAATTGTGGTGAGAATAAAGAATTTGTACTGTAAACTATTTTTATACCAAACAATTTGTTTTAAGAGTAACCCAATTCTCACCTCTTTGGTCACAGACAGCAGTTCAGATGGCGGTTCATCAGACACATTACACACACAAGCACAGTGAGTCCATTTCTTCACATCTGAAAGGAAATTGTTGACACATGACAACAGCATGTTCAGAAGTATTATTAATTGTAGATGTTTCTTTGTGTATTCCAAACATATGAGTAAATACAATATAATAATAGTTAAAATCCACAGGTTTAAAGAATGTGTTTCCACAGTCCTCACTCAGGCTGCGGTTTTTATCTGCCTTTTTTTCTTTAGATGCAGAGTCTTTCTCAATCAGATACATCACCAACATCGTCTCCAGAAGGCTGACCATCATCAAACCAAACATCCCAATCCAGTACACCGCTGAAGAGAAAAGGCATCATCATTAAAGTGGATGAAAGATAAGCCATTGTTGTTCCTGCTTGAATTAAATGGAAGTCCAATAAAATAATGACTCTGAGTTGCTTTACCTATAAGCGGTATCCTGTTTGAAGAGGAAGGCAGAATGTCGTTGAGAATAAGCTGCATCACAGTGACAGCGAGCAGAACAGTGACCTTGAAGCTGACCTTCTCCCTCTCACTGTCCGACATCAGGAAGGAGGCCAAGTCCAGACAGAAGAAGAACAGGATGGGCACTAAGAAGTTGGCGATGTAGATGGCAGAATGCCTCTTCATCCTGATCTGTGATCCAAGATGGAAAAACAGTGAATCTGTTCACTAATGCTGCAATGATCAAAAACATTATTGATTATGGGTTTAAGTTCATGCAATATGAAAGATATTGCTCCACTGAAATATGAAGTTTCCTGTTTATATAATTGAATTATATTTTATATTTTGTCACAATGGTTAAGGATAATTAAGTGGCCACCATCAACAATGTGCGATTACAATGTATCCAATCAACAACAATATCAATGGGTTTGCTCTTTTTTATTCTGCTGTTTAGAATGCAAGCTAAATAAAACCAGCAAGTGGAGCTGCAGACATTTTCATGCACATTTTTGCAGAAATAAATAAAAGTAAAATGTACAACACACTTACAGTATAAATTAGAACGCTTTGCTTTTCAAAACAACGTGAGACAGATTTGTCCTTGACTGTAATGTCGATGAGAAACCACTCAGACTCGTTCCTCATCATTTGGCGAGTCCATTCCGTTATCAGTGTACTGTCGTCTATGACTTCAAACCTCAACTCCTCCTCTAAGGTGAAAGTGAAGATACAAGTTTGAGATGTCTTATCATGATTTACAGGATAAATGCATGTGCTGGTGTGTGCTCATGTGACAATTAACCTTTAAATAGATAATTACCACAAACGTGCAATCAAACACACAACATACATATTTTAGATAAATGTCTATGAACTTCTGAAAGCTCACCTGGGTAAACGATAGACTTGAGAGACAATGTGCAGCTCTGAATATCAAAAGGAAATTTGTAAATTTGCATCTTGCACGTGCTGACCACCATAAGGTCCCTCACATGTTCAACGAAGCCGTTTGAGTGAATGGTGATGAAGGGATTTGGAACAGCCTTGTCCTTCTCTATCCTGTATGACAACAAACATACATGTGTACAAATTATAGCAAACACTTTATATGCTTCAAACTGATTTTCACATTGTGTAATACTTTAATAGAATGAAACATTTATCTAAATTATGATACTATTGTTGAAGTCTGTATTTTCCTAAAATGTATCCTCATTACTTTAAATATATATAATTGTAAAAAACAATATGTTTAAACCTTGTTGCATCATCTTTTTACATCCATATGATTTATTGTGCATGTCCTTCTTAATAATAACAGGCTCCATCACCATTTACTGTTGTGAGTTTGTGGATTTGTGAGTATGCACAAAAACTCCAACTTACATCTCTTCAATCATGAGATCTGGCTTCCACAACAAATCAGCAGGCACTCTCATCTTATCAAGGCCACCAAAGTTTTGTGGTTTCCAATAAATATGTGGATCTTCCCATTTCTACATAGGAAAACAAGGAAGAAGGGAAGATAAAAGACCTTTAAGATGCAATCTACAGCAACTCATTTCAACCTACAGTATAATAAACAGTATAGGAAAATCACAAATTGGTTCTCAAAACAAACTCACCATATAAATCACAGCGAAAGAAATGAAAGTCTGGTCAACCTCTTTCTGTAACCGAAGACATGGTGTGAAAATCTTTACCACATTAAGGTAGCTGACCTTACATAGGCGAAACTGTCATAAAACATTGCACTTTGAAGATAACATGCTGACTACCTTCAGCAAGTTGAAAATAAGTAAAAGCTCCTTTGTAAACCCACTTTGTGATTTCGCTGCATTAGCGGGGTCACACTAAGCAAAGCCCCAACGATGTTTCTTCAAAAATTCAAGGCAGCATTGGGGGAGAAATTGATTAAAGGTATTATTTTTGGGGTGACATAATGTTTGTGGACACTTTGTCGCACTATTCTGACTTGTATATGCTTCCTTCAATAGTGCTAGTATTACGCTATTTCCTAGAGGCACTATGTACAAGTACTGATCTGGTACAAATCGTACTATGACGCTCTCCCTGCGGTGATCCGCAACATCCCGTCTCTTGACACCTTTAAAAGGGCCCTCAAGTCCCACCTGTTTGACAAGGCCCCTCATTTATTTGTTGTTTTGTCTGACTGTTTGTCTGACTGTTTGTCTGACTGTCCGACCTTTGGTCCCGTGAAAGGCGCTATATAAATGTAAGTTATTGTTATTATTATTATTATTATTATTATTATTATTATTATTATTATCAGTTAGGAAGAATTGCATGCTATATTGAAATGTATGCTGAACTTTTTGTTAAGAGAGTCTTTTGTTCTTATTAAACTAACTTATCCTATATTTAGATTTTACTTTACTGATACCTATTGCTTTTTTGGCTTTCATGTGTATTACCGTGTGTTTGTACGTTCAACTGTTTTATCTTTGTTTTTGTTGTTTTTGGCTGCTTTCCAAAGCAACAAATAATGATTATCCAAAAAAATGTATAAAAGTTGCACTTACCACATCTAGAATTGCCATAATTGCCATTTGGAGATAGACCCATGTTGGTTTTTTGAAGTGTTTGGCAGGTCGGACCAACTTGTCCTTGTTTTCGGTTAGGTTCAGGCAGTTTAAAACATCTTCATAGGGGAATGCACTTTCTATTGGGAGGACATCAAAACAATATCTCTATCAGAGAGTTACTTCTTTATAGGAAAAACTACAAGGAAATGCAGACCTCAGTTTTTCATTCATAGCTCTCTCTCTCTCTCTCTCTCTCTCTCTCTCTCTCTCTCTCTCTCTCTCTCTCTCTCTCTCTCTCTCTCTCTCCTCCCATGTCCTTAACCAACTGATTATGGGCGTTCACTCATTCAGTTAAACCAACATGATGTTGTCATGATCTCCATCAGCCAGTCAGTAGTTGCTGTCCGTCAATTTAGCCTATTTAAAACACCCTATTTATGTTTAGTCAACATACCTGATGCCCACATTGAGCTCATCAGAAGACCACTCCTCATCACACACAGAGCTTCACCATCTTCCTCATCTCATCATCACCAGGGTTTAGACTCCAGGGTAAGTACTCTACTTACGGCTTCACCACCCCCTTAAAATATCTGGGATCACGATGTTGTCTTATCCACATTAACTCATTCTTCTTGTTGGCTAACTTGCCACTTAGACATAAGTCTTGTCTTATCTGTTGTAATATCCAGTGGTTGTGGTCACTGAAAGGTCATCATTAGATGGGTGTCGGCAGGACAGCAGGGATTTGTGTCATCTGTCCACTAATAACTTTCAAATGTGAGCATTTTACATTTAAATTGGGCTCTCCATTTGAGGTCCATCTGCTCCACATTGTCAAAATGCTTCAACGTCAGACCTCATGCAATCAAAAAACCAACTCTAGTTTCTTTATATAATTGTTCTGTTTGCTGTTCACACTAGTAACTTATCTATCAGTTGTATTACCTTGTGACAAAAACTGCGTTAAACTTATCCAGTGCTGACAACAGACAAGTGTATTCATTTTTAAAGAGTTCTATTAATAAAGTAGAAATAGAATAACACATAATTACTGTGTACTTACTCTTACTGTGATCATTGTCCTTATCCTTATGGGAGCGTTGGCCAATAAGCTCTTGTTGTTCCGAGTTATTGAATGTTTCTCCACCTCAAAGAAAAAAGTATACAGCTCTTAAAGTGATTCAACTGAAGCAGGTTCATGTGTGCATCTGTTAGCAAAAGCTAAGAACACAATTATAAAATATTTTCATGCTCATCGTTTAATAACCGAAAATGTGAGATTTCAAACATATAAATAAATCAAATTCACTCACACATTTTCTCACGGATATATAAAATCTATAAATAAGATAAATTCTCTATACATTTAATTATTTGACACATTTTGAGTGTTTGCATACTTGCTTCAAAGCTGTGATTTGATTTAAGATCATCCTGAAGCTCTGTGGTATTCCAGGAACTTCCACCTGACAGAAAAGAGTATACAGCTCTACATTCAATATTATGTCCATGCACACACACAAACTGCTTTCCCACAAAACATTTGTAATTGCATCTGCAGATATTGTTTGGTTTAAATGATGCTGAGATAAGCAACTCCTATATGTTTTACCCATCAAAGAAGGTAAATGGGATTTTTGGAGCTCACTTCACTGTAAAATAATGGTTACGTCAGACATCATGCATTCTCAACACACCAAGTTTAGTTCTATCTCACACAGGCTCCGCCCTCTACTGGACTCTAGCAACAAGTCCTCCAACTATTACGACCAAATAGATCGATTGTTCAAGCGCTTATTACGACCTATAATCACGTTTTAAAGTTTTCAACCTCTAGTGCTCCCGTTGACTGCAAACGCTCCGGTGGGTCGTATATTCACAAATAACACTCTCTGGAAAATCCTAAATTGTAGGATAGTTTGGTCATTAAAATGATTTTTGATTCGATTTCTATCGAGAAGTGTCTATTGTACTTTTAGATTCCACGTCCAGTGGATGTGTAGGATCTATAGTTTGATAGATATTACGAAGATGATTTGAGGTCTTGCCAGGAGAACGTGTAACGGCAGCGTCCATGTAAAGTTAGCGTCACCCTCACGGGGTGAAAACAGTATTTCCGGTCTCGAAGTTTTCATAATAAAACCGTATTCCCATCACTGTCAAATTATTTTAAAGCTATATCTGCAATACTCATCCACTAAAAAACATCAGTTTATCCTTTAATTGTGTTCACTGCTTTTGTGTTTTTCCCATAGGTTTTTCTCTTTCGATTCTGAGGGACACATTTATTTTTTTAGAGGTTTTGATAGGCTAGAACATTGAACTACCCATAATCCTCAGCTATCGTTGAAGCTCGGTGATTGGATGTTTTAGCCGCAATGCACGTTGGGATATGGTGTTTATGCGATGTGAAATCCAAAAACATAAAAAATAATAATACTTTTTTCCGAGTGTGCTTGCTTTTTTCTTTGAAAGTCATCACATAACGGCATTGCCGTTCGGTTGCATTAAATATTACACATCTGCCGTAGTTTGATGAAAACATTTAAATATTAAGAGTAGCCTACATACAAAATAGGGGGAAAGAAGAAGGTCAATGATAGAAATATAGAACAGAAAATATCAAGAAGATACTGTAGTGATCTCTACAATAAACAGCTAGTGGAGGACGTCCAAAGATATTAACAGGAGGATGTGCAAAACAGACCAACTAATGAGGCTTTATTTAAACATTAAAGAATGCTTTAAGTTAAGGTCTTCTTTTGAATAAGAAAAAACTTTGGGGGGTATCTACAGATAAATATTAAGTCTGACAAAGTACTTAACGTCTAATATATTGCATAGTTTATTTTGGCACTTGACAATTACCTTCACTGAATTTTACTCAGGTGTAACTAAAGTCTGCTTTAAGGGTTGTTTATATTTCACATCATTAATCAGAATCTGCAAAGTAACTAAAATAAATGTAGTGGAGTAGAAATACCAGGTTAACCTCTGAATTGTAGTGGAGTAGAATTACAAAGTAACAATAGTGGCATTTTGTACATGCTGCTGTAACAAAAACATTTCCCAACTTAGGATCAATAAAGTATATCTTATCTTATCTTATCTTAAGATGATCGATGGCTATTGCCATATTTGCAAAAATACACATATGAAACCAATCAATGTTGTGTAATTAACAAGGATAAACTGATGTTTTTTAGTGGGTGAGTAATGCAGATATCACTGTGTAATCATTTGACAGTGAGGGGAATACTTCCGGTTAAATTATGAAAACTTTGAGACCGGAAATACTGTTTTCACCCCGTGAGGGTTGACGCCAACTTTACATGGAAGCTGCCGCATATACACGTTCTCCTGGCGAGACCTCAAATCATCTTCGTAATATCTATCAAACTATAGATCCTACACATCCACTGGACGTGGAATCTAAAAGTACAATATACACTTCTCGGTAGAAATGTCATCAAAAAGCATTTTAATGGCCAAACTATTCTACAATTTAGGATTTTCCAGAGGGTTATTTGTGAATATACGACCCTCCAGAGCGTTTGCAATCAACGAGAGCATATGCCGCAAATTGTTTTTTCTTATACGCAGTGGCGTTTTTATATGTACAAAAGTGGTGGGGCACAAAAAACTTAGATGTCTATATATAAGCTTCTGCAGTGACGTGCAGTGACGTGCAGTGACGTGCAGTGAGGTTCATGGCTGGTGAGGCACTGGCACTGACTCTTCAGGTTTACAAATATTATATTTTGACCTAAACCAAAATATAATATTATTTTCAAAAGCTTTTTTTGTCTGATGCTTCGATTAATTTTAAACAGACAGTTCAACAAAAGGATACCCAAAAAATGTAATTTTATCATTTAAATATTGAATTGTTCTCTCTTAGTAAGATCCCATTTTCAATAAAATGGCGGTCTTACCTTGCCTTGAAGATGAAGTCCATTTGCCTATCCTTCTGGACAAACATTTCTATTACTTTTTTGTAAAAGTCCTCCTTATTTTCTTGTAGTTTCAAAAGTCTATCATAAATCTAATCCATAGATTTATGATAAAAAAATTATAAAAGTAGGGTAGACATGTGGATGTTATCCGGCTAATCAAAACGTGCATTTATCTAACAGGTACGTTTCCCACAGATCTTATTTCGAGCTATTTTCTAAAATCCTCTGGAGAAATCTCATTGCTTTTTTGTGCTTACTTCCTGGTTTTAGGACGCGCCACTGCAGCTCTCTCGTCTCCTCTTCACACACCACACTTTTCGCGGCACACGTACTTACAGCCAATCAGCTCTGAATGATTTGAGATGACGTATGGTGGGGATGGTAGCTCCGTGCCCCTCTGGTCATTATTTTTTTGCCACACACATTACATTACAAAATACTCTGAGCATGCGCAGTGTAGTTTTTACAGTCAACTTTCACTTCACAGCGAGAGGAAGGGGCATAATCAGGTTTTGTCCCACATGGCTCTAAACAGCTCAATAGGCACACACTGTGACTGTAGACACACTAATTAGAAGAACACAGACTAAAACAGCAATGTACAGACGAATCAGATGATTAAACAGGATCTTAAAATATATTTTATATATTTTTTTATTTATTTTTTTGCATTTTTGTAATCATTATTTGTAATACTTTCTGCTGACACTAGGTGGGGCTGTGCCCCACCTGCCCCTAATGACCAGTCGCCACTGCTTATACGACCACTAGAGGTGCTAAACTTTAAAACGTGACTATAGGTCGTAATAAGCTGCTGAACAATCGACCTATTTGGTCGTTTTTGGCGGAGGACAGGCTGGACTCTATGGGTACTACTCTCATCAACGATACGTGAGTGTTCACACACTGAAGTTGTATAAATGTAGCCGGCCAATCAGGGCGAGCCTACCTGAATGTGCGCGCAGGCTCACAGTATATAAGGCAGCTACACCTCCTGACTGTCATCCTTTTCTCTTCAGCGAGCGGGGTGTGAGTGTGGAAGACATAGTACACTTACGTTTTCCCATGCTCCTTAGGGACCTGGGAAACGTGGTGTGCAGTGTGTAGTCACTTGCGCTGGCACCTGAAGGGTGGAGCTATGGGCTTATTCAGACCAATTAGGCTCTACCCAGCCAAGTAAGCTGCGGCCCCGACTTCTCCACGGTCACAACCGGGTGATAGGAAGTTGGGGTGCGATGGCTGTTAACCAAAGGCCGGTTAGGGGCAGTGTGGTGGGTCGATGTGTGGGGCGACAGGGCGTTTATTCATCGTATTGTAACCCTAGTTCTATAAACACAGGCGGAGCCCTCTAACTAGGGGCCCTGTCTTCCCTATGCCGCTCGCTGAAGAGGGTGTAGGATGACAGTCAGGAGGTGTAGCTGCCTTATATACTGTGAGCCTGCGCTCGCATTCAGGTAGGCTCGCCCTGATTGGCCGGCTACGTTTATACAACTTCAGTGTGTGAACGCTCGCGTATCATTGATGAGAGTAGTACCCATAGAGTCCAGTAGAGGGCTCCGCCTTTGCTTACAGTAGAACTATAACCCCCCGTTTCTTTATATCATTTGTTAGTATGCTGTTCACACCAGTAACATATCTATCAGTTTAATTAAACAAAAAACTACTTTGAATTATACAATGCAGTAAACAGACAAGTGTATTACTTTTCAAGACATCTATACGTATAATAAAAATAGAACAACACATAATTACTGTAATTTGTTGTGTTTTTCCTTTACACACCGTTGTTATTGTCGTCCTTTGAGTTATTGTTGGTACTTCCACCTGACAGAAAAAAGTATACAGCTTACAAAGAGGGATTCAAATGAAGCCGGTTAAATTGTTGTGTAACTGTTAGGAAAAAGAGAATAGAGCTCTACATTTAATATTATGTTCATGCACACAAATGGTAGTTTTTTAACTAAAGCAACTTCTCTTGCAGGGACATACCTGCTACTCTGAATAATCCACATACTACGCCGGAAAATTATGAAAGAGTTGGAAAATAGTTATTTTTTGTTAATAGATGTTGCTTGTAGTTTCTTTTTTTATGCTGTATCACAAAACAAACCTTCATTCCCCTCAATGATATTGGAGTGGCAACAGAAACGTCCCACCTGCATGCAACATATAGAATTGTTCCAGCTTACCTGTGAGGAGGAGCAGAAAGAGGAAACCGGTAAACATCCTGACTGGGAGAGGTCAGCAAAGTAAATGAGTATCCTTTTCCTCTCTGTGTTTTCTGGAAAAGTTTTTGTAGTCGTAGAGACGTCTGTCCGTCCTGGGAGAGGGATCCCTCCTCTGTTGCTCTCCCTGAGGTCTCTCCCATTTTCCCCTTTAAACTGTGGGGTTTTTCCTTTTTTGGAAGTTTTTCCTTGTACGATGTGAGGGTCTAAGGACAGAGGGTGTCGTATTGTCATACTGATATTCTGTACAAACTGTGAAGTCCACTGAGACAAATGTAACATTTGTGATATTGGGCTATATAAATAAACATTGATTGATTGATTGATTAATATCTCTACTGAAAGAGGGACGGGCAATTGATTGACCAAATTGTCTTTTTTTTTTTACTGATTAGTCTAATGATAGAAACTCACTAATGCAGCAAGGCTTCCAGGAACTGCCAACCATTTCAACACTCAGCCCTCTGTGGTTGAATCAATTTGGATTTCATAAAATGAGCTGTTTAATTCTTGCTTCCGCTGTTGCGGCTGTTTGTTTTCCAAAGTAAAGTAGTTCATTGTCAGAGCTGCTTTTGGATGCAAGAAACTACAATTTACATTTCAAATAAACAACACATAATCTCCGATGTGACTGATTACTGTGTCAAGCTTTTCCATCACTTCCAGGCAAAGTTATGTCTTTATTCTTTGTAGACTTTACAGTCAATGCTTTTGATTCAGTTGCGAGTTGGACCTGAATAGTTTGACAATACTATTTGTTTATTATGGCCATCAGAATATATCTGAATTTATATATTTATTAAATGATGGATGATCCAATCCTATTGATACAAAGTGAATACATCCTTTCATATCATTTAAATAGGTGTAATGTTTAATACCAAACCACATGATCCAAAGACAAAGGGAGCGGCATTACATATCACCAACTGGTTCCATATTTAAACTTTATTATAAAAAACGGCTGAAATCTGTCAAAAAGACATTGCAATACATTTCCAAGTGGAGCCATCCCCTTTACATTAGAAATATTTATGTTTGTCCCACTAACCATGTGCTTTATGGTTTGTTTTCCTATTGATTGTTTGTTTATTGGACCATAGCAAAGTGGCAGAACCGAGAAAAACGCATTTAACAGATCCCAGGAATTAAGTTGGCAGATGTAGCATATATGATTCTGCAAAAAAACAAAGCTAACTGCTAACGGAGGTTTTGCCTGTCCCCTGTAGCTGCCGGGCTCTGTACTTCTGTTGACATCTCCTGGTGGTGTAGTAGATTAGGCAATTGTGAACGTTTTCTTCTGACTATGCCACTTCAGATTTGATGCTATAGGCCAGGGAATGGGAATAGTGTTGCATTCTGGGGCATGGCTATTTTTGGAGGAAAGTGTCTATCGCAACACCTGGAACCTTTAGCTCCTAATAACTTTCCCCAGATATCTTGTATGCTTATGTTGTTAAAACGCTGTAATCATTTAAATCAACAAATTCTAGATAAGAGTGGCAGACTTGACGTCAGTGTTTTCCCAGTGTTCATTGAATCTGTCCCAGTATCTGAGCTGTGGATCTCAGCCTCATTATCTGACCAGTGGCCCTTTTCCATGAGAACCAGCCTGCTACATCTCTCGGGATGTTGTGGAAAGTTTCCGTTCTGTGGGAACAGAAAAATCCAGTCTGCTCTATCCCTCTCGAGCAGAATGATGATGATTGGTGTACGGATACGCTACTTTTAGACTTGGCAAGATTTAGTAAATATATGACATCATTCTTTAAAAAAATGGTATACAGTACCTGTGCCATTAGACTTAAATTCAAAGGGCCCAAACAAAAATAGCAAAGCTTTCAACACTGCAGTCACATTAGGGCTGAGGACCCTTTCCACAAAATGACAACAAAGGACACACAAGGCTTGACAGGTTTCCCGCGGGGTCTTAAAAAGTCTTAAATTTGATAATCTGAATTTAAGGCCTTGAAAAGGTCTTAAATATAACCCAAAAAATAAGAAAGGTCTTAAATATGATTTAGAAGGTCTTAAAAATGATCGGATTTGAAAGGTACTGTGTTGCGATCGCGTCTAAATGTGTTTTGGGGGAAATGTCCGGGCTGCAAAGTAACCAGTACGGTAAGAGCCTTTCAGTTCCCCCCAACAATTTGTATTGAAATAAATCAACATGGAACCAGTAATCACTAACTTTGTTTCCCCCGGCCCCTTATCGGAGAACACCCAGCTAGTAACCTAGCAACCAAGCTTCAGCTAGCGGCAGTCAGAAACTCAGGTATCTTCGAATCTACTTACAAATAAATATGGGGAAGTGTAAGTTCAACCGTATTTGGTTGGAAAACATCGAATTTAGTGCTTGGTTGAAACCAGTGGAGGGGAACGTGTTTGAAGCCCGCCGCACCCGCAACAACACCGCGGGACCTCCGGGCGACGTTTGGGTCTACGTCAACCCTAAAAGCGGAGGTGCTGTGGACGCTAAATACCGTAGTTAAACACCTATCATACAACAGCAACGATGAAAGATTGTAAGGCAGCAGAGCTCTGAATATAGCTCTTGTCACTCTCTTTCACACACACGCACACACACGCACACACACACCACACACACACACACACACACAACAACACACACACACACACACACACACACACACACACACACACACACTCACACACACACACACACACACACACACACACACACACACACACACACACACACACACACACAATGATGTACTTAGAGAACTTTGCTTACATAATTAGGTTTGTATACCGGGATATGAGCAGGAAAAGGGTGCATGATTTCAACAACATGCAATTTGGCGATAAATAGCAGATATATCTCTGATTGAGAGTCCCATTTAAACTTGAATTACTGCAACAATGATCACTTTTGAAAGTCATCAGTGGACTGGTTGGATAAAACCCCTGCAGTTCTGCCAACGCCCATCTCATAATGGCCTTTCAGTGACCACAACCACTGGATATTGCTGCAGATATGTGTGAGCTGGTGTTTATTTCTGGTTTGATAATACACTCAGAAGCAATTTATTTATACAGACAGCAACTATGCTTATTCATGCATACATGTGTTTGCACAACAATGGGAAAATAGGGGTATGGTAACATCCACGAACAAACCTATTACACATAAAGATTTGATCCTATCACTTTTGGATGCAGTACAACTCCCTAAGAGAGTGGCGGTCTGTAAGTGTGCAGCACTACAGGGACGGACCCAATTTCCACAGGGAACCGAAAGGCAGATGAAGAGGCTAAGAAAGCAGCGCAAAGACAGTGACAGGACAATGACCAATATATTTCAGAAAATATGCAACACATTGATCATGACATACTAAAAGACATGCAAGCGAATGCAACTGACAAAGAGAAGGTATACTGGAAGAAGAAATTGTGTACACAGAATAAAGAGGGATTGTGGGAAAGTACAGAAGGTATTACCAAAAAGCTTATTTCGATATGCAGCTATATTGAGCCATGGGTTGGACCACGGCTCAACAGTGGGAATGGTGGACATAATACAAAAGATATTCACAGTCTATGGCTTTACAAACTACTACTAAAAAATTGTTTAGCATGTTCTGTGTGTGCACAGTATAACCCTCAGGGACAGTTTAGACCAAAGAGAGGTCAAATACCTGAGCCCCAGTATCCGTTCAGCACATTTGCATGGACTTTATTGAACTAAATAAATGTGAAGGAATGAAATATTGTCTAACAATCATTGACATGTACTCAAAATGGATTGACGTTTTTCCAACTAGAAATCCAGATACATTGACAGTTGCTAAAGCACTAACAAATCACATAATCCCACGTTTTGGAATTCCAGAAAAGATCTATAGCGATAATGGCACACACTTTGTGAATAAAGTAATTCAGGATTTGACAGCCCTATTTGGAATACAGTTAAAATGACATTGTTCTTATCATCCACAGTCAGCAGGATTGATAGAAAGAAATAATGGTACAGTAAAAGCTAAACTAAAGAAAATGATGGCCGAGACAGGGAAAACATGGATGAGATGCTTAGCACCAGTGATGCTAAGCATGCACATCCTACCTAGTGCTAGAGGGCTGTCACCTTTTGAAATGTTATACGGAAGACCATATTATCTGCCTGAGTAAAAAACATTTATACTGTAAGAGAGGACAAAAGTATGAGTGAAAACACAGCAGAATTTATGGCAAAAATGTTAAGAAGAAAAGAGATCACAAATGTTGTTGTCCCCTCTGCACAGGAAGTACCTGACTCCACACAGACAGTGAACCCAGGAGAGTGGGAGTTCACCAGAGCGATGAAGAGGAAGACCTGGCACTCGGCCAAGTGGGAGGGTCCCTACCAAGTACTCCTGTCTACACCGACTGCAGTTAGAGTGGCGGAGAGACCATCCTGGATACACCTGACTGTGAAGCTGTTTAAAGGTCCCATGTCATGGCCATTTCTACTGATCATAATTCCATTGTTGAGGTCTACTAAAATAGATGTATATTGTGCAATTTTCCAAACTCACATTGGTTTCTCATACAGCATCTCTGTAAAGTATGTGTATTCACCGGTATTCACTCTCTGTCCTAAACGGCTTGTTGGAGCTCCTGCCCCCCCTCCCTGTGAGCCCAGTGTGCTCTGATTGGTCGCGAGGCTGAGAGGCTCGTTGCTGCTCGCAGCTGCTGCTCGCTGCTGCAAGGGGCAGACAGGCTTCCGTGTCGGCGATACAGGAGAACAAGCGAAACTCATCTGAGCACACACAAACACTCACAGCCGAAGTAAAAACAATAAATGTGGCTTGATATTGAGTAAGAAAAAGGTTTATAACGCTGTGAGCATGGGTCTGCGGAGAGCATTTCTCCGCGATCCCAACGTAGTAGCCCGAAAAATGTTTTGGCTGAGGGTGCGGCCATAGCTCTGGGCGTGGCTACTGGGTATCCCTACGTAGCGATACCCAGGAAGAAAACATTGGAAAATGAGAAATCTCCAACGAGGCGTTTTGGGGAGGTATTTTCTGTGTTAGAGTTTTACTCGCTACAGGGTGTACTTTGAGGGTTTTTGACTCTGCAGACCGTTTACATGCATAAAAACCTTCATAACAC